TTGGGCTTGTTGGATTCGTCTCGTCGAGTCGCTCGATTTGATTATAAGCATGTCAAGTTTTAAAACCGTTTGGTAGCCCAAATTATGGTTTGAACCTTCTAAATGTGCATTGGGCTCGGATTGAGTCGAATTTGGTGTCGTTGAGTTCGTATTTTTCGATATTTTCAGTTCAACCATAAATTTGCTGAAATCAAAGTTGAGATGATCTCCGATTTAATTTTATGATGATATTTTGAATATAAAACTTTTAATACATTATATTAATAATTGACTTTCAACTTAGGAAAAATTTTTAAATATTTAATAAAAAATTAAATTAAATTTCAAAATATACTAATAAGTTTAAATATTAAAATGATTTAAATATTAAATAGATAAAAATATCATAATTTTTACGTAAAAAGTTTGCTTGTAATTACTGATTACTTTTTGTTCATTAGATTATCTAATTAAATAACGTAATAAGGGAAAACAATGTAATCTAAATAGGTTTTTTAGGAAACCGGATTAATAAATTCCGGTTAAGAAACCAGAATTTATTAATCCTGTTTCTTTAAAAACCATGATTTTATGTTCCTATTTCATCTTTAATGAAGTTCCGATTTCTATTGAAATCGGATAATTAAATTTCGTATTTGTTCATTTTTAAATTTATTTGTCAATCTGCTACTTAAGCTAATTTAGATTTAAATCATGCAACTTTTTATTAATTGGCCTATTTTGAGCGGACTCAATTAATAATTATAGCCTCGTGTCAACGAGCATGGGCTCGTGCAAATTGTTCGGATTCGGCGCCTAAGAATTTCTCCAAAACTGATCGTCGGCTTTGCAGGCAGCAGGGAAAGAAAGCAGCAGACAGAGTGTTTGTGTACAGAAACGATGGTGCATAGCGCCTACGACCTGGTGGAGCTCGTAAAGGGCTGCAACGCTAAGGTCGAGAGCTTGGCAACATACGGTTCTAAGATCCTCTTAGGTTGCTCTGATGGTTCGCTTCGAATCTTTGTACCGACTTCCGCTCTTTCGATCGCTTCTTCCCCCAGCAGCGGGGATGAGGGGCTTCAGCCGTCTGATTCCGATATCAAACGGGAGCCATACGCGCTAGAGAGGGCGATGTCGGGGTTCTGGAAGCGTGCGCCGTTGGCGATGGAGGTGTGCCGCTCACGCGACCTTCTGTTGTCCCTCTCGGAGTGGATCGCATTCCACCGGCTTCCCAACCTGGAGACAGTTGTCGCCATAGCCAAGACGAAGGGCGCTAATGTCTACAGCTGGGACGATCGGAGGGGATTCCTCTGCGTTGGTAGGCAGAAAAGGGTCGGGATCTATAGACTGGATGGTAATTTGGCCATTTGATTCTCACTTATTCTTAAGCTTATCGTAATATTTCTTTTCGGATATTCACAAATCTTAAGCGAACAGCCATTGCCACTGGTAATGCCTTGTTCCTACTCCGCAATCGCTCTGATTTGTCAAAACTACCCGACGCAAGGGTTTATTCGCCATTTTGACTGAGCGTTAATTTTTGGGTGACATAGTCACATAGCTTTAGAGTAAGAGATGAACTGTGCAGGTTGCTGTAAGTTTGGTTCTGCAATAAATGTTGTTATTTATTTGTATCCTTTTCTGATTCAGGGCAATGTGTCCTGTTAAGATAAACTGCTGCATATGTTTGAAGGGAACGGGTATGCTTTTGTAAATTGTGAATGCCATGGAAGTGAAATAGTATGCATGCACAAGAATGTTATTTTTTTAAATATTTATTTTTTAATACATGCAACTAATCGTGGGTTGATGAATAACACGTTTTTAGATTCAAAATTATGGTGCGCGGCTGGTTTTTCGTCTTTTTCTCACCTTAGCAAAAGGTCGACTTGATTTTAATTATGATTGTTAGGTGGTCGTGAATTTGTGGAGGTTAAGGAGTTTGGTGTATCCGATCAGGTGAAGTCTATGGCATGGTGTGGTGAAAACATTTGCTTGGGGATTGGGAAGGAATACATAATACTGAACAGTACGACTGGAGCATCGTCAAAAGTATTCTCTTCTGGAAGGAGCATTCCCTTAGTTGTTCCTCTTCCCTCTGGGGAGCTTATCTTAGGAAAGGTACTGTCTACTTATTTGGTGTCACGTTTCTGTTTTAAAAATCTTCTTGTTCCAGTGCTCATCATTTTAAACATATTTTACATTAAACGCTGCTTCTTGTTTAGTATTCCTTAGAATTCTTGTTTCTCTTCTTAGTTCATTGCTACTGAGGTTATATTATTGTTGTTGGTTATCATGCTACTGGGTTAACATGGAAAACAATAGTAATCTTATTTGGGTAAATTATATGTAGCTATTTCAAGTTTGGGTCAGCTATTGACCACTGGTATCCCAAATTTAAAACTGTTTCATTTCTAATCTTAGCTTAGCCAATTTGTCCCCCAAGTTTTTACAATATTTCATGGTAAATGGCCTGCATGAAACTTTTTTCAAAATAGTGGATTTAATAGTAAATTTTGAAAATTAACGGATGCAAGAACTACATCATATTTGAATATTATGGGTCCTCCTGATGAAACTTAGAAATGGTAGATGTTCTTGATAAGAAAGAGAAAGAAAGAGAAGGAGAAGAAGAATGAGTTAGACCAATAAACCCTCAAGCTTGAACATAGACATCGCATCCCAAAATTGCTTTTCAGGTTAGGAGCCTTCACATTCAAAGCAGAGACTGTTCAATATCCAAAATTCTCTTGAATGGAAAACTCTATATTTATATGATAGAGGATTATTGTAGATATGAGCAAGAAAATAACAAAATAGGAAAATATAGTTGATTTCTATCATTTCAGTTTACTTTAATGGTATGATATGTTAACCACCTGAGTAACTTAAATAGTACGGATTGGATGGTAATCTGTGCACAACATATCTTGCGTACTTTATAGATGATCCTTGAGTTTTTGAACACTAACGATTTGAAATTTCACTATAACTTACGTAAGTTGAACTTGTTCTGCATTGTAATGACATCCCATGCTGGACTAGAGGGTGATGACTGAGATTGTGTCTTACGGCAATTTGAAATTTTCTATTTAACCTCCTCCCCCCTCCTTTCGAATTTCAAATTTGAAATTTTAACGTTTTATGAGTCATTAATTGTTTCCTAAATTTTTTCCCTGATTCATGCAATCAAATTAATTGGATTTGAATTTCGAATTTTGAAATTCAAAATCGGCCCAATTGATTGTTTTAATTTAGGAACCTCTTTCCCTTTTAAAACTGAAGTTTTAATTTCATATTTTATAAAATTCTGAAATTAAAACTTGTGGTCCCCACTTTACTAAAACTCACCACCTCCATCTTCTCTAATTTGCCCGGCCCCCTCATTGGGCTCCTCTCTCTCTCCTAATCACCCTAATAGCTCCACAAAATTAGCCCCAACTCCCTCCTCTCTTTGCCGCCCCTCTCCCCCTCCTTGGGTTAATTTGAATTTCAAATTAAATCCCACCATTAAACCTCCAAAATCTGAATTTAATTCAGAATTCCTGCACCCTACCACTTGACCCCCACCATAACCGAATCCCCTCTAGCTCTCAAACCTGTGACCCCCTCTCTCCCTAGCTCACGGCCCACTCTCCCACCTCCCTCTTTGTCTTCCCTACTCAATCCCACCATGCATGGCGAACCTCGAATTTGAATGGGGACTTGTGTTCGAAGCCCACGGTAATATCAATATCCTACGATCTCCATTCTTCGACGCGGGATTTGACCACGATGACGACACCGTTGGAGCTTACTTGGATCGGATCCTCCCCACCCTCGTGCACGTCATCGACAGGCAAAGTCCAGACTACGAGTGGACCATCGACGGCTACCCACCCGCTCCTCCAATTCCGGCTTCTTCCCCAGCGACGAGTCCTCTCGGTATCACCTGTCTACTAGTGGCATCGCTGAGTCTACTTACGATCCTCTTCCGCTAGCCACCACTTTCAAGAGCGACTGAAGGACTTCAAGGTGAAGGATCTAGATTTTAAATTTGAGGCTTTGTTGTAATTGGCCATTTGCATTACCTAAATTTTTGGTTTTTATTTTGCAAGTTCTAGTAATCTCCACGTGTAGTCTATTGCTATTGCTTAATCTTTCAATGCCATATTCTTAAAACTTTAACTTGAGCAAACAAAGGGTTTTTGGTAGCAAAGTAAAGTTCATCACTTATATTAATATCTTAATTGCAATTCTTGTTTATCTCATTTAGCATCACATCACCACATGTGTAACTTAAATAGTACGGATTGGATGGTAATCTGTGCACAACATATCTTGAGTACTTTCTAGATGATCCTTGAGTTTTTGAACACAAACCATTTGAAATTTCACTATAACTTACGTAGGTTGAACTTGTTCTGCATTGTAATGACATCCCATGCTGGACTAGAGGGTGATGACTGAGATTGTGTCTTACGGAAATTTGAAATTTTCTATTTAAAATGCTTCTTAGAGTGAATATTATGTTTTTTATTATAAGGTTCTATCTGTACAAGGTTTTATCTGCATTTCAAGTGCTGGAATCTATGAACTTGGAACTGCTAATTGCATACTACTGACTCCAACTAATATAATGGACTGCACTGACATATTGCGAGATTGTCTCTCACTTGGACTGTTGAGCTTGAGTTCCACTACATCACATGATATGCCTACTTGAGTTGCAAATCATTATCATTCTAAGTTGCTTTTTCTTTCACATGGATTGACATATTTTGCCACTCCTTAAACTTGGTATTTAAATAAATTTTGTTAGTGAATACTTTGATAATTTTTGTATTTATTTTAGAAGAAGCCTTACTGTTAGACTGGTCCACTGGACCGGTCCAATCGGTCCATACGAGACCGGCTCGTGTTTAACAGAGGCGGAGAAGTTCCGCCTCCCGCTCATGCCGCTCAAACCACAACATCCAAAAGCTTTGATTAGGAAGGATTTAGGAGGAGTTTAGGAGGGAAATTTGAAAGTAGGGCTGTTTAGAGATTTCTTTTTTGGATTGTATGCATTAAATAGTTTGTTTTCCTAGGGTCAGGGCATCTTGAATTTGGATGAAATTTGAGATTTCTCTTAGGTACTTGGGCTCTAGCCGCCGACTAGGAATTGTGAGAGGCAAATCTTCTTCTCGAATTGAAGATCCATTGTATCTTGCTTGCTTTTGTTCGTCTTTCATCAAATAAAATTTGTTTCTTTGTTGTTTGTCTTCATTCTTCTCAAAAATTGTTTGCAAGTGGCTGATTTTCTCAGATTTCAACAAGGGTTTTTAGGTTTATTCAATGTTTTCTATCAAATTGTTATTAGAGCAATTTCCTGGGCCGGAATAGAAGTTTTCCTCGTTGAATTTTGTTGTGTTCCATATCCGATCTTGTTGTTTTTGCTGATTAGAGGTCAGAATTCACTTCAAACTTGTTGCTCTTTGCTATTGGAGCCTAAATCCAGGTTCCTATGGCATAAAGAAAGGTAGAAGTATTGGAAGGGGAGATCCGACAATTGAATACAAAAATTTCAGATCTCCACACTCGACTTCCAGATGTCAAAAGTTAAGTTTCAGACATCTACGAGAAGATGGGCGGGAATTTTCCCATCATGGGGGATATGTTGAAGAAGTTGCTCGAGGGCAAATCCAAAACATCGTTGTTGGAAGCAAGGGAAGCCTCTAGCAACCCAGGAAGCAGCAAAAACTCTAATCCAATAAGGCAAAGAGAAGTTCAGGAGGTGGAGACTTGAAATGGAAAAGAGAGAATACCTCCTCTAGAGCATGTTCCTAGGGAGGAGCCGGGTAGAGGGTATGAGGAGAAACTTGAGGAGGTGGAGCATGAACAAATGGGTGCTGAATTTGAGAGGAGAGGGGCGGGATTTGAAAGGGATATGGGTAATTATGGTCAAAGGGGGGTTGAAATTGAAAGGAGAGGGATTTATTATGATCTAAGGGTGCTGAATTTGAAAGGAGAATGTGAGAATTTGATGAAATGTTTGGGTATGAGTATAGAATGGATGATTCAGATGCTTGGGGGGAACCACCCCTTGGGGAATGAGAAATTATGGAGGGAACATGGGGAATGGAGGAGATCCGAGGGTGAGAAAGCTAAAAATGACTTTTTTTGAGGGAGATGATGCCCACGAGTGGATCTATAAGGTGGAAAGATATTTTACCGTCAATATGTTGACGGAGGAGGAGAGACTAACACTAGTCGAGATGTGCTTGGAAGGGAAAACTTTAGCATGGTACCAGTGGAGGGAAACAAGGCGATCCATATAGACCTGGAGGGAGTTTAAGAATTGCTTGTTGGAACGTTTTCGAACCAGTAGAGGAGGGGACTTCTATGAGCAATTCTTTGCCATGACACAAGAGGGGATGGTGGTGGAATACGGTGAGAAGTTTGAGCACCTTGCCAGCCGACTGGGCCGGCTTCCGTATGCTATATTGGATGGGACCTTTATGAAAGAGCTCAAATTAGAACTTCAAGCGGCAATTAGAGTGATGACGCCTCGTGATTTGGGAGAGGTTATGGAGCTAGCTCAGTTAGTAGAGGATCAGAGGACCTTGAGTAAGAGATTGGACGCAACAGCTCAGGAGGTTCGTACTTGAAGACAACCACCTTCTTAGCACCCAAGGAGCTGAGACCGGGTACTCTTCTGGAAACCCCAAAGGAGAAGGCTATAGGTGGAAGACCTGAAGGGAACTTCAAGATGTCATAGAAACGAAGTTACATAAGAAGTGGACGAAGGGGCTCTGTTTCAGATGTGAGGAGTAGTATACACCTGGGCACAGATGCAAGGACCGAACTCTTCGTGTTTTTACTATTTGTGATGACGAGGTAATGGAGGAGGGTGTCGTTTTTCCACCTTATGGACAATGTGAGTCTTTGGGAGAGGAGTATTGTTAGACCGGTCCACTGGATCAGTCCAACCGGTCCATATGGGACTAGCTCGCGTGTAATAGAGGCGGAGAAGTTTCGCCTCCCGCTCGTGCTGCTCAAACCGCAGAGTCTAAAAGCTCTTAGGAAGGATTTAGGAGGAGTTTAGGAGGGAAATTTGAAAGTAGGGATTGTTTAGAGATTTTCTTTTGGATTGTATGCATTAAATAGTTTGTTTTCCTAGGGTTAGGGCATCTTGAATTTGGCTGAAATTTGAGATCTCTCTTAGGTACTTGGGCTCTAGCCGTCGGCTAGGGATTGTGAGAGCCGGATCTTCCTCTTGAATTGAAAATCCATTGTATCTTGCTTGCTTTTGTTCGCCTTTCATCTAGTAAAATTTGTTTCGTTGTTGTTCGTCTTCCTTCTAAAAAATTGTTTGCAAGAGTGATTTTCTCGGATTTCAGCAAGGGTTTTCTAGGTTTATACAAGTGTTTTCTATCACTTACATAAATATTGCTTATTGTTGTCTGATGAAAGACCCTTGTGATGTTAACACATAAGTTGAATAAGTTTCTCATGATCTTGATTAAAGGAAGGCCTAGTGAAAAACTCAGTGTATAAGTGTACCATAGTAAAACTTAATTCTTCAGCTTGCGTGTTAACATCTATTTTTTTGCCTCATTTGCTATTGAGGCTAATTAATTATCTGTGTTTTGGAGCTGTTGATTTGACATATCCTAATGTTCTATATACTAACATCTTTAAATATACGGTAGTATGCCGAACATTTAAGTCAATTCCTGAAATCATTCAATTAAGTTTTTGAAATATACAAGTGGCAGTATTTAGAGTTGGGAAACCATGCATAAAAGCTGATTTTGCATGCTTGTTTGCCTTCAATTCCATCCATTTATAGGATGACGTTGGAGTTTTTGTTGACCAAAATGGGAAACTTCTACAAGATGGCAGGATATGTTGGTCTGAGGCCCCCAGCTCTATTGTCATCCACAAGCCATATGGATTAGCTCGCCTACCTAGGCATGTTGAGGCAAGTGGATATATTTTAAATTGACTCTCATCCAGCCAGAAAGCACTCTTTGAGGAGTTCTACTAGTTTATATTTATTTATCTTTTCATTATGTCTTATTTGTGCAGATACGCTCTCTTGATGCTCCGTATCCTTTGGTTCAGACAATTGTTCTCAGGGATGTTCATCTCCTTCAACAAAGTAATAACTGTGCGATTGCTGCAGTAGGAAGTTCAATTTATGGTCTCTTGCCTGTTCCTGTTGGTGCCCAGGTAATGATTTGTCTGTTGTTCCATCCCATCTTCTGATAATTGCATCTTCCTGAGCTTTACATTACTCAGTTTTATAATCATTAATACTCCAGAAACACAGACTCAAATTTAATATACTCTTTGGATTTAAAAAATGCTTAGTATTTTAATAATTGCTCACTTTTAGTTTTTGACCTGCATAAAAATATTATATTATTGTGCTCTGTTTCTAGATTTATCCATGCATGCGACCTGGGTTATAAGGTTGAGAACTTAAAATATTGTTAAATATTAAGATGTTTCAACTTGCTTGTTGCATCTGAAAACTTTTTATGGCTAAACTTAACAATGTCCTCTAAGTTTTGAGTAGAGCGTCTATTGTTATGGGATAGCACATAGAAGCAGTAGGCTGCCATAGTATACTTGCAAGTGGATACCCACATGACTGGTTGGCACGAGGGCAAAAGTCGATCTGGATGCATTATCTCTGGTAATAATTTATTTTGTCCCTTGCAAAGTATGTCTCGTTCAGGCTTGAGGAGGCACAAGGAATTCAGAGATTATAAATGGTGGATGAACTCAAGCTGTGAATGCTCTAGGTTTAGACCAATGTTCTTGTTAGCGATCCAAACTAAGCAATGAGATTCAAAATCTAATCATACTTGTTTCAGAAATCACAAGGCAGGGCGGTTTTCCAATCATGATTCTCAAATATTTTTGTTTAGATTTTGAGCATGCTATTCCAGCCATCATATCATTTAACATGTGTTTATAAGGCTCTTCTACAAGATTTGGTTTCTTGATTCATGTCATAAGAAAAATGTGTTTATCATACTTGATCCCATATTATAGAAGTTGAAGGCTGATGGTAGGTTAGTAGAAAATTGTCAAAATTTGGTACAATTCTTAAAATAAACCCTAATTTGATGTTTGCTAGTGTCAAGATATGTCCCAAATGTGTTTTCATGATCTAACCCAATTATGGTGAAGTGTGATAGAGTCGGCTAGGATGTTTGATATAGTGTGAGATGTCTACTTGTAGTTGTCCGTTTTTAGTATTTTTTTTACCAACTTAATCAGTATGATTTAATTTGTCATGTTAATGCCATTTCCCTTGTTTTTAATCTTTTTTATTTGTGAGGATTAAGATGATCATTTTCCATTCCATTATGCTTTTCATCATCTTAATGTTATTATGGCTAGAGTGCCAATAAACGTAGGGCAACTATTATTAAGTAATTGGCATTGGTTTTTGAAAACCATGGCATAAAGGGGATTCTTCTAGCATTTTTTTTTGGGGATTAATTGCTCCCTTATAATTCTTTTCCATTTTTGTAAAGAAATTTAGGTATTTTTTATTGAAAGATACTAAGCTTGTTGAAATTGGAATGGAATTACTTAAAGGGGCGTTGCTTGTTTGAAATTATCAATTTCACTTTTGAGCTATGATGGACGGATATTGCGACACAGATATAACACGACACGAGACACGTCAATTATTGAAAATATAAGACACGGACATCGGTTGGATATGGTATTATATTTTTTATATATTAAAAAGTGTATAAAAATGGAATAAATATAATATTAAAGATAATTTAGAAATAATAAGTCATTTAACTAGAATTTGTGCTTAAATTGATTCATATTAGAGTATTGAGAGTCGGGCGTAGATGCCATGTATCAGCAATCGAGATAGGAGACGACAATATTATCGAGAGTCAGGTATCGATGTTATGCGGTAAGTATCGGGTGTCGATGACAAGAGGGCGTCTGTTCTCAATGTTGAGAGGGCATTGGTCGTTGATGTTAAGACAACGCCAGACAAAGATGACCTGTTAAGTTGTAGGTGTAGAAATTGCTAGCATCGAACATCATTGTCAAGATAATGTTAGGTTTTGATGTTGAGATGGTTATGAAATGTCGATGTTGTAATGATGTCAAACGTCGATATTGAGATGACATCGGGCATTATTGTGAAACTATGATGCACAAATATGGACACGGCTACACATATACAACACGATACGGACATGGGACACGCCAATTATTGAAAATATAGGACACGTAAACGGGTTAGATACAATATTATAATTTTTATATTTTAAAAAATGTGTATACAAATTGAATAAGTATAATATTAAAATTAATTTATAAATAATAAGTTATTTAGCTAGAATTTGTACTTAAAAGGTTAATATTAGGATGTCGAGAGTCAGCGTCGATGTCATGTTTCAAGTATCGAGAGAGGAGAAGGAGTAAGAAGAAACAAAATAAAATTCTCATTCAATCATTCATCATCCTCATTACATAAGAAATGACCATATATATAGGCCTCAAAATGACAAAGGAAACAAAAGACTAAAATGCCCTTGGGCTACAATAGCGACCAAATACCCATAAGTGTAAAAACGGAAAAACTGAAAAATAAAATAAACTGCTACATAAAACGACTTAAAATAAAAATCCTGATCGTGGCCGTCGATCTCCGGTGTCTCCGATGGTACACGTGTCAAAATTGCTGACGATGTCCTCATCACAGTGCCATACTTTGATGTTGAGATGATTTTGAAATGTCGATGTTGTAACGATATCAAATGTCGATGTTGAGATGACATTGGACATTATTGTGAAACTATAATGCACAAACATGAACACAACCACACATGTACAACATGACACAGACACAAACTCTTGTCTACTTTGGGATGCTAACTCCAATCATGTCCCACATCACATTTTGTGAATAAAAACAAAGCTCACTATTCATCAGTTCCTCCCAAAGATATAAGAAGGTTGTTGACAACACTTCTTAGCACATTTCACTTATGTTGATCGATTTGCTATAACTAAATATTCATGGAAGATTTTGGTAAATTTTTTTCTCAAGCATTCTGATTTCCACAGAACATAATATTTCTTTAGTTTGGTGAGCCATTGAATTTGTGGGTACTCGCACGGTTGCTTTTGATAACAATGACGCAATGCCTCCAATAAACTGTTCCTGAAAGAAGGTGTTTTATTTGGCTTAGTTGCAGTAACAACTTAAAATTAGTTATTTCCTAGCACACGCATTTGATCTGGTCATTCATATACTGTTTTCTGCTTTAAAATCTAAATGCGCACTTATTCTAATGAAAATTTTGCATCGAGTTTCAATCCTTGCATGTAATGGTAATGTGTAAAGCCTATTTCTTGGGCATCTTATGCTGAATATGTGGCGGCTGCCAATGGACTCGGTATCACCATTTGAAATTTTGTTCTGAAATTTTTTTTGCCTGTATTTTTGTTGTCACTGCAAATTTGCGTTTGGTGTACAGATTGTACAGTTGACAGCATCTGGGAATTTTGTGGGGGCATTAGCTTTGTGTAAGCTACTCCCACCAGAGGATTCTAGCCTTCGAGCAGCAAAAGAAGCCTCTATACATATAAGGTTCTTAATCAGCATCTGCTCTTTGCCATAGTGTTTAATGCAAAGCGGTTTTAGTGTTCACTCTTCTTTGAAGATCTCTAAATTTACAGCATGAAAATGTCTCTTATGCATAGTATAACTGTATTGTTATTTTTCTGATGGAAATTTAAAATTTCAATCTGAATTCACCATACTAAAAGCTAGCTTCTTTTGTTGTCAATTCATATTAGTCATGATTTATTGTTTTGATGCTTTGTTTCTAGGTATGGGCATTATCTGTTTGATAATGGGAGCTATGAGGAGTCCATGGATCAGTTCTTGGCTTCCCAAGTGGATATAACCTATGTATTATCTTTATATCCTTCAATAACTCTACCAAAGGATCTAACTATTGTTGAACCTGAGAAGTTTCAAGAACAGACTGATGCTTTTTACCTATCAAGGTTTTCTTCTGATGTGTCAGATGACATGGAATCATCATTGCCATCTCAATTCTATGAATCTGATGATAAATCAGCAGTTGAGGATAAGAAAACGAGTTACAACGCTATCATGGCACTAGCAAAGTACCTGCAGAGGAAAAGATTTAGTGTAATTGAAAGGGCAACTGCAGAGGTAACAGAGGAAGTTGTCTCTGATGCTGTGCAAGGCAGCATAACGACTTCTGAGCCATATGGATCTATGAGTTCCAGCAAGGTGAAAAAAAATCCGATTCTTTAAGCACTGCACCTACAAAAGCTTCTAACACTTCTATTTTCTGTTAATATAGTACATCTTGGATACATTCTTCAGTTTCCCTTGTGTTACCTCTTCAACTTCTTGTTCTTTTGTATTTTGCCACAGGTTGTATGACTTGTTCTAGATATCAGCTGCCAGGCTTGTGATAGGAAGTCTCGCAGAAATTTAGGAAAAGTCTTGGCTGAAATCTGATTTCAACAATTTTAGAAAACTAACAATAAGAAAATCATGAATAGAACACACAAGAATATTTTTTTTTTATTGAAGTTCTATGAAAGAAAGACATGATACAAGTGGATATTCAATTGGAGAGCTCCCAAATTCCTAGCCATCAGTTAGTGCCTAAATAACCTAAGAATAAATTAAATTCAGCAAACAAGGCATATCCATAACCTTAGAAAATCACCTACTTAAAGCAAACAATAATCAACAAATACCCTGTAAAATCTGAAAATGTTGATCGTATGCGTCGCATGCATTTCGACGCGTTGTGACCAAATTCGGTGACATTTCAAAGTTGTCAGAACGCGACGAAATAAATTTTATAAAATTCTACGCAAAATTTCAATCGAAACGGTACAAAGAACATATACCTAATTTCGCGCGATTTGAAAACTAAAAATCGTAGAAGTTCGTTTAAGTAATTTTTAAGTCACTTGCCCAAATTACCCCTCAGGAGCTCTTAAGGAAGTATTTGGAAGAGGGGCACATGCGTTTTTTAGTAATACCTATCCCTCATTTAGCCAAAACACCTCAAATATTTTGGTCCCTTTTGTGGTTGTTCGGCCGCACGCGTGAAGAGAGGGAGAGAACGTCGGGTGGTTCATGAAAGCCGGTGGCCGGCGAGTTTCCGGCAAGGGTTTTTGATGGA